AATAATTCAGCTGTCATATCTATGAGTTTTCTCATTATGGGCTCAGTCAATTCGACCAAGTTTGTGACTTTCCATACTATAACTCTTAATAAATTTTGTGTATGTTCAAGAAATTTTACAAGCTTTCAGTGAACATTACATGTCCTTTGCAGATAAAAGATCAGAATTTTTAAGAAGTATTTTTGCAAAAAGATTCTCTGTGAATATATGGTGTCAAAGTGTTGACTGCTTTAATGCAAAGTGATTTTTATGTTAAGATTAACAATACTTTTCTTCATCTGAAAATTATCAAGTTTCATATGCATAATCTCTAAAACATCCTAAATAAATTTCAAATGACTTTTTATCTCCGTTAGTTTCACTACCCTAACTCTATACACATTCAGTCAATTTGATTGACCTCTTAAAACACCATAAAATACAAAATAAATATAAATTACCCTTTTTTTTCCCCATTCTAAATTTACTGCAAATTATAACAATAAACTATGATTGTTTATCATAAACATCTTAAAGTTTGTAACAATATACATCTGTTTCTACTTAAACTGTAATATGTTTTCTTTGAGCCATGTCTAACTAATAATCCCACCACACAAGCTGTAAATCACTTAAACATAGAGCTAACATTACCAAATTGAGTTAAATAATGCATGAGCTACTAAAGAGCTAATTGTGAGTGCACCACATTAAAAAATTATTTTTAGATTTTATATTTTAGTTATATACCTGGCTGTATGTAAAGATCTTGCTATAGTTTCTTATATATCTGGCTGTGTGTAAAGATGTTTTTATTGTTTTTTATGTATCTGGCTGTGTGTAAAGATCTTGCTATAGTTTTTTATATACCTGGCTGTATGTAAAGATGTTTTTTATTGTTTTTTTATGTAGCTAAACAGTTATGGTGCTCAACTGAAATATGTTTTCCGTTACCGTACCCCACCTGTTCCACGCCCTCCAAGAGTAGCAGATGTTATTCTAAAGGGAAATAACATAACTCTTTATCATGTGTTGGGGAAAGCCTATGGACCACAGCGAGATAATCAAGTAGAAATTAATTTCAGGGAGGTAAGCACACTGAGAAGTGTGAGAATCCACTTTTTAATAGGCTGTGTATGGCTAGATACAACTTATCTAGATATTTTGTAGTTTATTTGTATTCAAAAATAATGAAGTTCCAAATAATAGTTTTATTTCGTTAGTAGTTCTACAAAAATATAAGAAACATTGTGTAGGAGAGAAAATTAAACACAAATACTGACCCAGATGTTCAATATTTCATCTTCCTAAAGATAAAAGTTTTTGTAAATAAATATCAGAGAAAAGTATATTAAGTTAAAGCTATGTACTAGTATAATATGTATAAGTGTATATTAGGCATCTGTATATATTATGAAACATCTTATCTTTCCAATTCTTCCAAAACAAATTTTATTTTATATTTGTTTATCACAACACAAGAAACTGGTGGTAATGTGTTTTTAAGCTTAGCCATTTCCTAACCATACCTTTAAAATCAAATCTTTCTACACAGCTCTTAAGATGCTAGAAGCTTCAAATTGTTTTAGACATACAAAGATGACGGTGTTGGAAATACATAAATGAAATAAAAAATTCTTATACTACTAAATATTCCTAAAGATGCCAAATATTTGCAGATGTATATTTGTTGTTATATTGCAAGTAGTAAAATAATAAAAAAAACACAATTAAAGTTAGTTTCATATAAAAATCAACTGAAATAGGCAATCATTTATTTTTCTCTATAGATGTAGTATTGCATCAGCAAAAAATATAGTTATTCTAGAAATATTACACAAATCTTAATTAATATGTAAATGGAAAATTATTCAAATTTATTTACTGCTCTTTAAATTAATTCTGAATGAATTCTTCAAAGAAATTGTTGGGAATATATGTTTTACAGATTGGTTATTTGGAATATGTATAGGAGGATGTGTTTTACAATCTGGGAGTATATAGGAGAATGTGTTCAGGAATTTTTGGGAATATATGTTTTACAGATTGGTTATTTGGGATATATATAGGAGGACATGTTTTACAATCTGGGAGTATAAAGGAGAATGTGTTCAGTAATTTTTGGGAATATATGTTTTACAGATTGGTTATTTGGGATATATGTATATATATAATATCACAGTAACAGCTGGAGTAAGTTGAGCATATTATAAGGTGTTTTTGATTCAAAAGGTAGTGAATAATTTGGATAGTTTATAATAGCATAAATTACTTTAAGATAAAGATCAGGAAACATAAGAGCTTGATAATATTCTAAAATAGATTCAAAGTTTAAGTAAGTAGCATAATTACAGAGTATAACACTCAAGATGTTGTGAGAATTGAGGAGTTTGTTTTAATAAAATAAACTCAATTAAAACTAGTTTAAACTTTTGTAGTGATTATTTTGTGTAATTCAAGAAAGTATGTGATAATTACAGAAAATGCTATATTTGGATCATGCATGTGAAGTTAAACATTATACATAGCAATGGTCAGTAAATATTTATTTAATACATTTCTTTTTTGTGTTTTATCACCCACTGGTCAGCTTTGTTGCTTGGATTTTAATAATTGTCACATTCAAGTTAATGTTAATATGACTGATAAGAACGGTCATTCAAACATTTATCTCCCTTGACACTTTCATTAGGGGTACCCTTTTCTGTGCATGTCACAAACTTTGTACAGAATAACATTCAAAATTGAATCAAACTGATTTGTTTTCAGTATAAACTTGGCATCAAAATGTAATTAATAAATCAAATTTTTAACACTACAAGTTTTAATTTCTTTATTTTATAAGGAAATATTTTTAAAAAGTCTCTAATCTCACCCTAGTATCAGAATTGTGATGTTTGTTCTGTAGGTATTCCCTTTTCTCTAATTTATTTACCACCCCTCAAAGAAGTATGGAACTTAATGTAAATTTCTCATTATAATAATGTTGTTACTCGGGCAATGCAAAATAGCCTTCAATGTTATTTGTTTATGGATCCATAAACTAGAAAATTGGAACCCCCTCTTGCTGAGCCCACCTGTTACATCCTCTCTTTCACAAATAGCCAATATTTGTTAATGATTTTTGATACTATATTATTTATAGCCAATAGAAAGCCAAGGTATAATTCTCTTAAATGACACATTAAATTACGCTGTTTTCTCTACAGAGAATTGTCTATTTCACTTCCCATTCAAACTTTATTCCCACAGAAAACATGTTGAAGAGCTTAGCTGAATTTTTAATAGCTCTTATTGCACAGTTAGAAAGTCATGAAAGTTATGATAGTTTCAGGACATTGACTGCTTTTTATTTATTATTATTCTATATTCTCTGGTGAACTATTTAATTAAATAAAAAAATTTAGTGTAGTAGTAGTAGTAGTAGTAGTACCATTAGTATATAAATAAAAATTAAGATTAAGTATCATGGATAGGCAACAGACAAAAAAAAAAAAAAGACAAAGTATTATATTGCTTGTTTTTGATGAGTATTCTTTATTTATTATTATAAAAGTAAAAAAACTATAGCAAGATCTTTACATACAGCCAGATACATAAGAAACTATAGCAAGATCTTTACATACAGCCAGATACATAAGAAACTATAGCAAGATCTTTACATACAGCCAGATACATAAGAAACTATAGCAAGATCTTTACACACAGCCAGCTATATAAAAAACTATAGCAAGATCTTTACACACAGCCAGGTATATAAAAAACTATAGCAAGATCTTTACATACAGCCAGATACATAAGAAACTATAGCAAGATCTTTACACACAGTCAGCTATATAAAAAACTATAGCAAGATCTTGATACACAGTCAGCTATATAAAAAACTATAGCAAGATCTTTACACACAGCCAGATACATGAAAAACTATAGCAAGATCTTTACACACAGCCAGCT